CCATCTTCTGCAAGTTCTTTCATTCACACATTCCTCTCCATAAACTGAGTGAATGTTTCTAGCCACTTCGGCTGCTGAGTTTCCTTTCTTGAACTCATAAAGCATTATGTGCCTCAAATGATTCTTGGGTACTTCCATGTTAGCAGGGTTTTAATCAAACAAAATTTAATTTTATTGTTCTCTGAAATAAAATTTAATCAGTTTAAATGCATCTAAACATAAAAATAATGTTCAGCTCCATTAGACATCATAAAATACTCTTTAAATTTCGTTCATTTTTTTAAAAAAAGTTAAAATTCGGACAGAACTTATGGGATGACCTGATAACATCCCCTTTGTAATTGATGAATTATAAAATATCTTCACTTTATATTTTGCGAGTGGCCTTATTCTAGATTCTTAACCTTAATAATAATGATAATCATATTTAACGGTAAAGAAATGTAAGGCAGACAATTAGTGAAAATTAAACTCTGGAAAATATGAAAATATGGTCGGTCATTTTTTTCGCCCTGAAAGTACCTGACTTCTCCTGCCATACTCTTTCTTTAGAAGAGTCAGATCAGACCAAAAGTAAAGTATTACTGCCATGTGAAATGAAAGTTGTCATGAACGGCTACTCTTCTAGATCTTTTTTCATTAATGTGATGACCCTCAGGACTGTATTCTTGGACCTACTTTGTTCCTAATTTCCATCAAGGACCTCCCCGATGTCAACGGTTCTCAATTCGGTATCTATGCTGACGTCACAACTATTTATTCTTGTCTTAAGGGTAAATCTGGTCAGTTCGATAAGATCAAATTGGCAGCTGATCTAAAAAATAACTTATAATCTATTGTTAATTGGGGCAAAAAATGACACCAAAACGAAACTGCTCTCTTGTAATCGTCTTTATTTTTTTTTTGGAAGGGGAGGGTTCCATCAGTATGGCTGATGCTAACCCCCAGAAAAGTGAGTCATTTCCCCTTCTCGTTTTATACTGGCATAAACCGGAAATATTATATGGAACCAATTGCTCGGTCTGCTGCTAAGAAAGTCTGATACTAGAAAAGTTGCTAGATAATCTTTCTCGCCAGTATCTATCTTACACATTTATAGGCTTAACATCCGTCCATGAATTGAATATTACTGTCATATCTGGTCTAGTGATTCTCCTGTGTATTTTAAGATTTTTTATTTTTTGTTTAAGCATATCACCCCCAGCAAGGCGGGGGTGTCACTAGCACGCAAGGGGTTACAAGGAGTGAGATTAAGGGTAAAGCGGATTGTTCGGGATAAGAATAAAGAGAAGTACAGGGCTTAAGGTCAAGGCATCAGAAGATGTCGATTGATATTAAATTTGAATATTTGAAGATTATACCTATGAGGAAAGCAAGTGATAGAAAAGGAGTTCAACTGACGGGAAGTACGAGGTAAGAATCTTTTGGAGTAGAAGAGATTTAACAGTTTTGACAGTGAAAGGGTGGGACCGAGATGCCAACCTAGTAGCACGCTCAAATTCATGCAATTTGGGAACTAGTGAAAATAACTCGTCAGAGCATTTGCCATAAAAATACCTGTAGAAAAAACAGAGGGAAGCCACAACAACGACGTTGCATGTCCGTCTCTGAATTTTGCCGAGGACCTCGAGATAAACAGCGGGATAACTAGATCATATATGGTAGTAGTATTCCATGCAAGGACGAATGGTTAATTTATAGATTTGAAGGATGGACACAGGCGAGAAAACCCTTCTAGCGCGACACAGAGAACCAACTTTCCTTGCGGTAAATGAAGTTATAGAGTCAATGTAGTTGTTCCACTTCTTGATAAAATCTAAAGAATCTACAATTTTATTGGGTCACATCTGACATCTCGGTTACGTTTTCTCGGTTACTTTCCCATCGCTGTAGCGTAGCTTCCCTCTGTCTTTTCTATAAATATTTATAGTAAATGTTCTTAGGCACGATGGAATAATGGATAGCGGTTCGGATTGAGGAATCGGAGAGTCGAGTTTTGAATTCACTTACAAAAAGGTATGAATCCTCTTCTTCTCCTTCCCCTAGCTTTGACAGGATGGATGGCAGCTGCGGGAAATAAACTCTGCCTCGTCAGTCATGTATCGTGTTATGGTAATTAACCCACGCACGCATGGGATCTCCCAGCTATAAATAGAAGCAGGTACGGCCCTTTTTGGGAGTAAAGTTTCCAGCAGTCAGCTCTGATAGTCTGACCGAACATTCTTGCTGTAACATTCTCGTTTGTAAATGGTTGTATTACTACTTTCTGTCAATATATTTGTTTAACTCAATTCCTCTTTTGTGTCCGTAATTCTGGCCCTAACAAAGCCACAACATATCGAAAGACACATGATCGTCTAAGCGTGTATCACGCATGGCATATAACTGAAATGTTCTGAATTTTTGTCTTTGGCATGTCGACTTTACGACCTCAAATGCAATACTAGATTGGCAGCTATTTTACAGTCGAAATGACCAGGTGTAACCGTAAGTTTTATGCAAACAGTTTGTGCTCTAGTTTCTTCTTTAACACTTCTTACATGTGGAACTCTCTTCCAGCTTCTTGCTTTCCAGTCAACTTCCATCTTCAAAAATTTTAATGCAATGTCAATCGTTACGTTCTGTCTTCTTAATTCCAATTCTTTTATTGTTCTTTCACCATAATAATATATTTTTTATATTCTTTCATCATCAGTAACCCCCATTGCGTCTTAGTGGATTTATTTCCTTGTCTGGAGTGATGATTAAAAAACCTGTGCTAAAGCTGTCCAGATTCTCACTTTCAAGATTTGAAAGAGTCCAAAAACGGTTACACGGCCTTGTGGGCGATAAATTATTTACAACCTTTAATCCCTCGCCCACAGAGAAAACCTCGCGGGCTTATCGTTATATTATCGCTGTTTCCAGGGTAAATGTTCAGACGAGCTACAATCCTTATTTCAACCAGTTCATACCTTTATCGCTAACGCCACGTACACGGGGTCGAATCATTCTAAATCCCTCCACAGAATTGGTACTTTTTCGCATAGATTCCCTAGGGGATGCTTCCTCAATTACTAGAATCATAACATCTTCAAGTTTATGGCCAACTATTATCTATCCTACACATCCTCATAATTTGCTCTTAGTTCCCCCTCTTACATCAACACAATAACTTTATTCAGTAAATCTCTACCTTGAGTTGCTCTTGGAGCTTGCATTGTTTTAACATTAAATAAAAACATTCGAAACACTTTAAAATACTTACTGATTACCGCTTCTCAAATATATATCTACCTGTCGATAAAAGGAAGATATATATTTTCTAGTTTGGTGATGTTGACGATGAACTGCGGCGACATCTCAGTTTTTATTATTATTATTATTATTATTATTATTATTATTATTATACAGGATGTATCAAAAATACTTTTACAAACTTTGGGGCTGTGTTCCTCACATCAAACAAGGACAGAAGTTCATATAAACATACACCTTCAAATCCATCGTTTTTGAGTTAAGTTTAAAGTTTACGTATTTACTTATTTCCATGGTTTGTGGTGCCATGCATCCTGTCTTAGCAACACGTCGATAAACACAGGAAAAGTTCGATGACTCGGCTGCCTTCGCTCTGAAAACGCAATCTGATACGGCCGCACTGCCTCGCCTCCATTACAATTCTCGCTGCTTTATGTAAAAGTCATATCTACCTACTCGCAATAGAAATATCTTGTCATTGTTAAACGGAACACTTCTCAGCTAACTCACTACTACAAGCGTTAAACGTTGAAGACATACTAGCTACAAATATACACGAATAACAAATGTAAACTAGTCTATACAGCAAAACAGCGCCATCTACCGTAAACGGCCTTTAAGCTTCATAACTCAAAAACGAAGGATTTGCGAACATGCTTATTTGAACTTTTGTCCTTGTTTTGGTGTGAAGGACCAGACCCCAAATGTTGTAAAAGTATTTTTGATACACCCTGTATAAAACATATGTGAAAACAGGAATTGGCTTGTAGGTATTTGAATGTTTTCACTTGTTTAGGCAAGCGTTTACCAGCCGCTAGGAAAAGAAATGTTGAGACTAAGAGTTGTTTATTTTTATCCCTTTTCAAAGTCCTCATAAATGACCCCAAATGAACATTAAACAGATGTCCATTTTGCACGCTGCTGCCCCCGCTGAAAACATCGCCCATTCCTGAAATATACTATCAGTATCTTTTTTGTGTATTGATTTCGAATGTTGGCAAAATATTTAATTTGGTTTTCACTCCTATTGGGTCTCAAATTATCGACTAGATGCTGTAAAATGCCGGTCTCTTTATAACGCTCTAAGAAATAACCGATTCCTTCTGCCATAATTTAAACCAGATGTGATCAATAATGAAATGCTGTTACCATATCTGGGCTGGGAGGGGTGCTCAATCGTCACATCCCAGGCTTGAGTACGAAATCATTTACGCTACTTTGAGGGGGAAGACTTATTTTTCATACTGCATCCATTCACCCACTGTCGAAACGTCTATTGTAACATTAATGCTATTTCCAAGGGCAAGTGTTCAGATGAGAGAAATTCATTAGTTCTAGCAGTGCAGGCCCTTACAGCTAAAATACACCATGTTGCTTCCACGAGGTTGAATCATCTTCATTTCCTCCGTGTTCCACAGGTAAAGAGAAATTGCAACGCTGTTTGTTTTCCTCAAGAACTGCCACTATGCGAAGCAGACATACGCGTGGCTGCTTCCCCTAACACTTCAATCGTGACGTCTTCAAGTCAAGAGTCAATCGCCATCTTTCCTTCTTATTCTCATAGTCTCCGCTTCTTACTATCACATTCATTATTACCATCTCCACTGCATTCCTCTATTATGAGTGGCTCTCAGGCTTTTTAATGGGTGACATTTACTATTTTTCAAGCATCGACATGATACAATTCTACTACGATTAGTTTTGTTTTTCTGAATAAAGTACAAATTCTAGGTGCCCTTTGAAGTCTTCCACAGTATCTTTTGTTAAAGAATACTGAAACAATCAGAAAAAATGGTCATCAGATAGCGCAAAAGTAACGTGATGAGGCGAATAAGAGAAAAGTTGGCGACAAGTACCGAGACAGATAGATAGATAGATAGATAGATAGATAGATAGATAGATAGATAGATAATCACCAGGTCGCCAAAGAAACATTTATCTTGACTTATTATTAAGCTGACTGGACATTATGGCGACGAAACATTCAACCAAGTCATAGCGTCCTGGGTAAGACAATAAACTACGTTCAACAGCAAGGCCTCTGATCAGGAGGTTTTGAGGAGTGTGGAACCACTTCTCAATTGCTGGTGTTCCCAGGTCTACTCTGGCCCGGGGTGGTAGCACCTGTTAGGGTCCCAGCTGTGGGGAAATAGTTAACCCCTAAACTGGGGTCAAAACACTAGGAAAGTGTCAAAATACCAGCAATACATTTTTGTAAAAAAAATATTAACAGCAACGAATTTTTGAAGAAAAAAATTAACAACAATACATTTTTTTTAATATTACCAGCAATAAAAATCTTGTCGGCATTAAATAACCCATAGAGGTTGATATGCCGTAAACCTAACCAAACCATACCAAGTCATATCGCTGAAAATATCACCCATTCCTGAAATATACTATCAGAATCTTCTTTTTTTGTTGTTGTTGATTTCGAATGTTGGCAAAATATTTAATTTGGTTTTCACTCCTATTGGGTCTCAAATTATCGACTAGATGCTGTAAAATGCCGGTCTCTTTATAACGCTCTAAGAAATAACCGATTCCTTCTTCCATAATTTAAACCAGATGCGATCAATAATGAAATGCTGCTACCATATCTGGGCTGGGGGTGCTCAATCGCATAGAAATCCTTCTTTAGATAATGACCATGCGTTAGTATGTGTCAATTTCATCAATCTTTAAAATATAACTTTAAAAAATTATGCATTCGTGTTTATTCTGCAATTACACTAGGTCTAACAAATTCAAACTCCATCTTTACATTCACATCTTTTTTTTTTCTGGAGCTTTCAGTATGCCCCAAATAACGAAGCGGAGAATAAAATTTGGGATTTCTATATCTCGCTTCGGTAAATTTCATCAAAAACCTTACCTCTACGAAGGCTACCGTTCCGGATAAAATACCGAGGACTCTTTATCAACTCCATGGAAGTTATCAGCTGTATTCACTGATTCCAAGAATAGGGTAAACCCTAATCCCCGTCTCGATATCGCCATTCTGCTTCGTTAACAAACTCTTTGATCGCTTCAACAAATCAACTTCCTTGGTGACAAACGGTATGGTTTTCGTTCTTTTATTTTCACTGCTGATGTCTTAAATGTCGTTACACACAGAATCATCAAAGTACTCGATCGCTTAAAATATCTCAAAGACCTCTCACAGGATTTGGCATAGGTTTTGTTACAGAAATTCTGTAGCTATGGCATCTCTAGAAGAGACTTCGCTTTTGCCAATTTCTTGCTAACTAGTCGGCCAATGAATAAGACTCCCCCTCTATCTTACGCTCTTTCTGCTATATATTAACGATTTGGCCAGAAATCTCCTAGATAATCTATATAATAAACCTCAATGTCAGTGTGTCACTGTGTCACACTGCTTCAATTAAAGGGACACAACTCTCAGTAGCTCATCATCTTCTTCTTCTATTTCACCCTGGGAATAAAAATATTTGTTTGTACGAAAAGTTAGGACCTACGCACATCAAATTGTCTTTAAATTAAGTGTCGGCAGAATAATTATTGTTGAAACTTTAAAGGTAAGCTTAAATATTAATGCAATACTGAAATGCAGCGATCAATTTTTAGCTATTCTGTAGTTTATTGATGCCCATCGCAATACGGAAGAAGGATGCCTCGCAAAAAGAAATCTCTACCAACAGAGGACCAGATTGCAGTCAACAGACCGAAGGCTGCAGTGGGAAAAATAAAATTCAGTATAAATTAAAACCCACATCAAACAGCAGCGAGAAGAGCTTCCAATGCTTAGAATATGCAAAGATTTGGGACTCTCAAACTAGCCAATCAAGAGCCCTCCGCTAGCTTAAATGCCACCCAATAAGGCGGCTTTTAAGCTAGTTTATAAATAGATATGTATATAATACTACGGTCTATAAGTGCCCTTAACAAATATAGAGATGATTAGTTTGGCAGTTGATCTATCTTCTAATTTAGCTCCAACAGTTCAATGAAGGGAATACTGGCATGTAACAATCAGAACTAAGTTATCAATATTTTATCAACTCCGAGAAGACTCTGAAATTTCATTCACGATGACCAGTTGTGCTGTCCTTGCCTTGAACGACTATTAGGGGATATGGAACCCATATATACAATCCATTGCTAAAGAGGCTAAAAATTGTTCCTAGGGCCTCTTTAGTTAATTATTGATTAATATTCTATCGTTACAAGTCAGTTCAGACCAAGAAATGAACTATTGTTGTCATATCTGTGTTGGAGCTTCCCAGTCCTCAATTTACAACTTCAAACGCGTTTACGCAGCCTTGTGGGTGATGGATTATTTCCAGCCTTACAGTCCCTTTCTCGCAGATGAAACGTCGCAAGATTTATCCAGGGCGAATATACTGACATTTAGTTCCACCAGTTCATATTTTTACTGCTAAAACTAGCGAAGCCACGTTCGCAGAGACGAATCAACTTCATATGCTGTATTCCATTGATTAAAAGGATTTTCCACTCCGTTTCTTCCAGTGCAATGCCACTTCGTAGATCATGCTCCCGAGATGATGTTTCTTCGACCACTACAATCTTAACCTCTTCAAATCTACTGTCAACCGCTATCTATTTTGCGTATCCCTATAATCTATACTTACTTCCTCTTCTTAGATCCACCCAATAAACTCATTCATTAAAACTCTGGCTTGAGTATCTCTTGGGCCTTGTCGTGGGTAGACATTTATCAAATGAAAATTGTAGGCATAAATATACTACGTTCCAAAACAAGTTTATTTTTTTTTATATCGATGAGAACTCAGCGAAAACAATTTTCGGAATGTAAGACCCTCAGATCATATCAAATAAGCAAAAATACTAGCCGTCAAAATACATGGAGAAAAATGTTTCTTGAAACGGATATAGATTCACTCACATCAAGTTCTCACTCCCCGACTCCTACAATTCGGTCAACATATTCTTTTTGACTCCGGCGATTGTAAGTAGTAACATTTTTATTATTACTTCGAAAACTCAGTATATAATTTCCCTCGTTACAATATTCTTAGTAGTTATTGATTTCGCTTGTCCAATGGACTTTCAAATTGTTCTAAAATATTCACAAATCCTACGCGCAAATATTCTCCCATAGATCTTTTTCAATTAAGATAAAATCGCAAATCAAAGTGACTACACTAGTCAACCTCGTACAAATGATTTTAACCGCTTGATTTGTATATTCTGAGCAGTTTTGTAAAAGTATTTAGAAACGGTAAATTTTCGTTAGAAACAAAGGAAAAGGATTCTACAGTGCTACTTAATAGCAATCTTCGTAAATGGCCGTGAATATTGGACAATTTCTTCACAGATGAAAAGGAAACAGAAATTTGGTTCTACAGAAAAATTCTGAGGATACTACTTTCGGAATATTTGAGCATCGAGAAAGTTTTAAGAAGAATTCGAACAAAACTTGCACTTAGAATCAGTAAGTTAAAAGTTTTGGGGATATATAATGAGGAAAGAAGCCTTGGGGAATGTGAAACTCACATGACGTATTTAAAGCAAAAGGCGCAAAGAGGAACATGGAGTAACATAACGAGCTCGTGCAAATGGACAGCAAAACAGGGAGTGGAACAGATGGTAATGGAGCAAAGATTAGGAGATTATGGAGAGCCTTGATCGCCCATGTTTTGAAGGGAAACGGTAAACAAAACAAAAAGAGGCTTGAAATTTTCCGCTTTCGTTATCCTTAATTCTTAATCCATCTGAAGTAAGAAATTTGCCTGCGTATCTTAATATATGAAAACTTTTGCTATTGTTAGGTCAAGTTCATAATTTTTATATGCACTATTTCCAGCATCACCATGCATTCAGATTTGTGTCTCAAGTCGCAACCATGAATGGGACAATTTGCATTGCAGTCAAATATATCTACCGTTCACACAGTTTATTCGTATAAAATTAGATATGTCGCTCATTTCTTTTGGCCACGTCTGTATTGTATTAATTTCACTGCAAATTGAGTAACCTTTATCCGAAATTCGAAAATCTAAAAACCTCCAAAATCCGAATGTTTTACAGGTACTTACATGACAAATGGAAAATTTCAAAAAGGAACATGGCTACCCGTAGCATTATTAATACGTTGAAACGTTACAGATAAAATGCTGATTTTGTTTCAGTTTTCATTACATTTAACTTTAATCAGAATCCGTTTTGTTTTCATACAAATACTTAACCTGTATGTAACATTTTCATCAATACACGATATTGTTAGTAGAGGCTGATAGCTTACCAAATTTTCAATCTCACATCGATGATGCACATATGTAAAAGTAGTGTTTGGTGTTGCATTTATATATATTTTGTAAGTAGTGACCATGTTTTTGTGCATGTACACAAAGTACAAATCATTATTTTTATGTGAAATCTTAATTTCACCACTTAAAAATTCATGTGAGCATTACAGGTCTAGCGTCGTTACCTGTATCTGAATGTACACAAAATTTATTAAATCTTACATAAAACTTCTTTCAGGGTATATGTTATTTGTATAAAACTACCTTCAGTGTATATGTATAAGCTGTGATATCAGTAGATTAATCGATACAAGAGGTGAATGACTCAATTCATTCTGAATTCGATTTCCAAATTGTTTTACGCTGACTTTGTCGTAAGGGCCTTAAAAATTCCTTTTTCATTAACACCATTCTGAGAAAGTGGGGGGAATTCTGTAGGGTTAACACTGAGGTTCGCGAAGGGGAATGCGTATGAACGCCATGAATAATTCCATTCTAGGTGGAGTCCATTAAATTTCGCTCATTTGCCGTTAAATGCAGTGTCTTACTGAAAGAAAAAAAAACAGTTCGCCATTGTTCTCTTGTAGTCGTAAATTCGGTTTACTGCTTTTCTGTAACATGTGCGCATAATCACTAGCAATTTCAGTTGTTGGGCAATAAATATACCAATTTACAACTCAATGAAACACGTTCTCCAGATGTGTA